TTATAACAATTTTACAACAAATGAAATTTAAACATTAGTGGTGTAATATTGTAGACAAATACCTTAGCTACTAGAAAAACTAACCAATATTTTTAAATACTTCGAAATTTAATTTTTATAAATAAAATTAGCGGGTAAAAAAGATGGTCCCTGTAGGGACCACCATGCTTCAAAGGGTTAAGAATATCTCGTCGATGATATAATACATTTTAAGCCGGTTCTACATTAGTTGCAAGTCGATCGCAAGCTTGTTGCGACAGCCAATCTGAAGCTTGCATTTTGAAATCAATGCTTTGGATTGGCTATCGCAACAAGCTTGCGATCGGCTTGCAACTAATGTAGAACCGGCTTAACACCGGTCGCGCTTCTCTGATAATTTAGGACTCTACGCGTATCAAGTGCTCGGTGTAAACTAGGCCAATATATCCTCCTCAATTTTCATGTTAGGGTGCGTTCCCACAGAGCGCGTCACGCGTCGCGTCACGAATTAATCAACCAAAATATTCTATTTTATTGCATCGTTTGCCGAGCGATTTCTTGCACGAGGCTTCGATTAGGTTACTCGACATTCTAAAGATAAAAGAATTTTCCTTCGTATGAAATCCCGAATCGCGCGGTAAATTACTTAATAAAATAGAATGTTTTGATTGGTCAATTCGGATGACGCAGCACGTGACGCGCTCAGTGGGAACGCACCCTTACGATTTTCTTTCATACGATCATAAGTGAACAGTATTCGCGCGCTAATCTTAATTGTTGCTCGTACATATGTGTTATTTCGATCAAATTTCTAATGAACTTCGGCAGATTTAATAAGATAGTTTACAATAAAATTTTGAACTGTATGTATACAATTTGTCTCTCTTTTCTTTTAATTTAATATATTCTATATGATCACTTTTTTTCTAAAATGAGGCGCATTTCGTTTCATGCATGATACGTATGATGTATTATATTTTATAAATGTTTCTTGTTCACTGAATATTAAACAAGAATAAAATGATACATTTCGCGCATCGTGAAACGAAATGCATCCAAGAATTTGACAATTCGGTGTTATAAAATATGAGTGTTATTTGGTAAAATGATTTCAAAAATAAGCTGTAATTATAATTAACACTTAAAAAAAATGACGGATGTTATTTTTAAATTTATGTTATTCAAACTAAGACCGGTGTTCATAGTCCGTTTTCTTATTATAAGTTTTATTTTACTTAAACATCTTAATATCCTAATTAAGATACTTTATACTTTTATTTATTATTTTTATGATTGGCTTATCATATCTTAAGACTGCATTTAAGACGAACTTAAAATAAGAATGTGCGGATTATAAATACCGGTCTTATAGAGATTTCAGGTCAGGTATAATATTAATATCAAAATTGATAAATGAAAAATGGTGAAATCAATATTCCAGCGTTAAATATTCTTGAAATATTCATAAAATGTTATTCTTAATATTCTATGAATATTTCAGGAATATTTATAGCGATAGCTGGAATGGCGAATATTAACATTTATAAAAATTCGCATATGTTTGAAATAACCCAGACAACATAAAATTTAAAATAAAAGACGCGCAAGACGTCTTCAAAACGTCTTTTAGACTTCTGCGAGAATTATTTAAAAAGTTATTTAAAAGGACTACAAAAAAATCTTATGTGTCCAATTTTAATTAGACTTTGTGTTGTCTAAAAATTCATGTAAATACTAAATAGGGATTCTTTTTATATAATTTAAATTGAATTTGTCAATTGTGACATCAGATTGATATTTATCCTGATCTGAAAAGCTCTTAAATTTGAATAACAATTAAAAAATATTTAATAAATCCTTTAATGGCTTATCTTATACATAACTTATAAATAATACAATAGACCTCGTTTAATCATTAATCATAAAAATAATTAACCATAATATCTTTCTAACTATAATCGACACAACAAATTTCTTATAAGAGCTGAAAAAATCTTATAACAACATAACTCAATAATTCGAGTTGAAATATAATTTCTTCAAGAAACTACGAGAAACGATTATTCTCTTGCTAAAAAAATTATTTTTTGTTGAACAATGTAATTAATATTGATAAGTAACTATATCAAATCATATTTGTACTACTCTGTTAATACAAATAGAATTATTAACTTTTGTTGTTTGTTTAATATACAAGGAAAAAAAATTGAAAAACGAATTGTATAGATAGAAATTTCGATTCAAGTGATTACTGCTTAATTGAACTCCGATTAATTTATAAATATCTGTGTTATTTTGTTAACGTGGATCTCGAATTTCTTGTTAACATAGAAAGAAAGATTCCATGAATTGTATATGTATTTAAAAATTTTATATCAAGCGATCTTGCTGATTGTGAGTGAGAATTAATCACCGAATGAGCGTACGAGAAATTAAATTACGTTATGCTCCACGCCAATTATACGATATCGTTAATTATTCACAAGAAATTATGCACGGAGATTTCAAATCGTTTAATTCTATTCGGCAAATACAGAACTTCGAGAAAGTCGCAAGTCTCGTCCTCTGGCAATCGGGAACAAGCGATGCTTACGTATTTACAGAAATTCCTAAAGCGCTCGTGATCACCTAATATCTTTACACGGCAGTATTAACGATTACCTTGTCGTAACGTCGTGTAACAGGGAGAATAAATATACGGACGATATATATATGTATATTTGTTCGACGATCATTTGCACAATCGTATAAAAATGTATGTCGATAATGTCAATATTAGCACCACTCAGGAACAATAACGTGCAAACGATATAATTGCTCGCTGAAGGAACGAAGACAAATTAAGATTATGTAAAATAATTTATGTGTAACATATATACATATATATACATATATATACATATACAATATATATATATATTGTATATGTATATATATGTATATATTGCTATATGCATATGTTACATGAAACAGGCCTTTTACTTTTGACATTCCACGGTTTTCGTGAATGGCTATTGTGAAAGGTTTTCGTCTTAAAAAATTAACAGACGTGCACTTTGTTACTTTTTTTGACACCGACAAGATGCTATTAAGGATCGACAGTCTTACGGACTGTTCACGTGACTCTCGAAATTTGGACGGTTAGCCCATAATGCAATATTAATTTTACGATTTTATTATCTTGACATTTCGTAGATATATATACACGATATGGTAATATTTGATTTTTATTTAAAAACGCACGATTATTCATGCGGATCGTAAAATAATTAGTTTTATAGCAAATATGAATGCCGACTATGAATACCGTCATTGGCCATTAGCTCTGGTATATATATAGTCAATTCTTACATTTAAGACCTACTTAAATATAACCTGAAGATATCCTAGTTCTACAGCCTGCCATCACAAACCTGTATTAACATCTTAAGACATTATACTTGAGACAATCTTAAGGTAAGAATGGACTATGAAAATACCGGCGCCGTTGAGTTGCAAATTTGTACATTTATATTTACAAAGTATCAGTATAATAATAAATTATAAATTTAATACCGCATTGCAAATATTTATATTGATGTTAGAAACAGCTGGTAATGTTTATATTTCGATGTCTTTAACAACATCTTATCGGTGATTTCGAACAGTTTCTAGAACACATGTCCGTGCGCAGCGGTTGCTTGCGAGATTATATAGATATTATATTATTTAATCTCCTTAATACTGGATTTTTTTCACAGAACCCTGCGGTAGAGCATAAAGAGCGATAAATTACGACTCCGTGAATCTTACACAAGTCTGCGTATTACAAATGTTTGCGATTGTGTTTAAAGAGAAAAAAATCACCATATGTATAAATATATAACAATACATTAGTAGTTCATCCATCTTTTACATTTTACCACATCCATTAGTCGACTATCACTTTTGTAAGTCACAGACTTGTTCAAATTGTATTCCTATTCTCTTTCTCGTTTTCCGTTTGTAAAGTTATGCAGAGCCAAACAACTATGTCAAGTGTGTTACTCTTTGACGAGAATATATTACGCGTATGAAGTTATTACTGAAGTTATTATATCTTCTAGCCGTTCCTGAAGATCCTTTAACGATTGTGAGTACATTATATTCTCGGCGAAAAAAATATTCTCAACATATTACCAATTATAATTTCTTCTTTTTTTGCTATCTATGAAATTGCAGGTATCTCAAAGTTCACACTGAGATTTTCGGATTGAGCTAATTTAATGATGGTCGACAATTTCACCGCGACTCGGGCGGCCTCGTCGAGATCGTCGATTGGTACAATTTTTAAGCCCGCATTCGCGATCAGAGCCTTGGCTTCGTCCACGTTAGTACCCTAGAAAGCACAAAAAAATATATCTTTGCATAATTCTATAATCGGTCATAATAATTATTTGCAAAAAACAAGGACAGCGTTGGCTGTCGTACCTGCAATCTTACGACGACGGGAATTTTTAAACTTAGTTCCTTAGTCGCGGCAATAATACCTTCCGCTATAACGTCGCATCTCATGATGCCGCCAAAGATATTGACTAAAAGAGCGTGAACCTGATAGAAAGAAAGAAAAAATGCATGTAAATTCAGTTAAATCGACTAGAGATTCACGATTTCGTGCCACTCACTCGTGGGTCAGAAGTGATGATCTTGAATGCTTCCTTCACCGCGGAAGCTGTCGCACCACCGCCAACGTCGAGGAAATTAGCCGGTTCGCCGCCGTGCAGCTTGATAATGTCCATCGTGGCCATAGCTAAACCCGCCCCGTTTACCATGCAACCTATATTACCGTCGAGCGCGATGTAATTCAAGTCGAATTTCGCAGCTTCGACCTCCTTGGAATCCTCCTGTGTCCAATCTCTCAGATTAAAGAGTTCCTTTTGCCTGAACTCGGCGTTGTCGTCAAACCGGCATTTACAATCCAGAGCGAAATCTGTAAAAAAAAAAAATTATGTAGAGTAGTTTGTGCAAATCGAGCATTTATAAAATATCTATTAGAAGGCAGAGGGACAAGAAGAGCAGACTTACAATTTCCGTTAATGTCCTCGGCAAGAGGATTCACTTCCAAGAGAAGAGCGTCCTTCTTGAGGAACATTTGGTAAAGATTTATAATTATATTGGAAATGTAGTCCTTCACGTTCTCGAGGCCGAGTTTGACTACTATACGCTCCGCCTGCTCCTTCGTAATTCCCTTATTGATGTCGATAGGCTCGTACATGATGGCGCTAGGATTTGTAGCCGCGACTTCCTCGATGTTCACCCCACCTTGACTGGAGGCTATTATGACGGGACCCTGTTAAAAAAATGGAAAGGATTAGATATCTTTCACTTAACGCGACGGCGTCTCAAAAATGTGTCTCTTTGCCGTCTTATCAGCTTACACCAAAGGCTCTTTCCATCATGACGGCAAGGTAGTACTCTTTACGAGGAAACATGCGCTGCGTGACCATTACGGCGTTGCATATTCTGCCGCCTTCGCCCGTCTGTTTTGTGATCAGTAGTTTGCCTAGCATCTGGCCCGCCAGTGACTTGGCCTCACTGGGACTGTAAACAACGGTGATAAACGTTATAATATTCCCTGACACGCCTAGAAATAGGGCTGGTGATTTGTTTCGAAGTGAGCCTTCTGGTGAAGGCTTCGACATTCGAATTTTGAAGCTTCAAAGATTTGAAGCTTCGGTATTAAAATCTTCGAATTCTTTCGAAGCTTCAAAGCTTAAGGTGTCTTCGAAGCTTCGAAAAATATACATTCGTGCAAATGAATTTATTCAGAAAATTTACAAATATTGTAAACAAAAAGAATTAATATATATATATATATAAATTTATTTTTATTTCTTTGAATTTTCTTAATTCTGATTGTTTTTTATTGATCATTATCTTTCCTTATTTACATATGCATCAAGTTTAATTATTTGTAATATCAAGTTTAATTATTTGTAATATTTCAGGTTAATTTGTAACATCAAGTTTAATTATTTGTAATATTTCAGGTTATAATACTTTCAAATTTTTAGGGCTAATATACGTAATTAGCCCTAAAAAATTTGAAAGTATTATAACCTGAAATATTACAAATAATTAAACTTGATGTTACAAATTAATCTGAAATATTACAAATCAAATATATATATATATATATATATATATATGCTCAAAAAATATATATACGTAATTAGCCCTAAAAAATTTGAAAGTGTTATAACCTGAAATATTACAAATAATTAAACTTGATACATATGTAAATAAGGAAAGATAATGATGAATAAAAAACAATCAGAATGAAGAAAATTCAAAGAAATAAAAATAAATTTATTCTTAAATAAATGAACAAAAATATAATGAATTAATATAATTGTTTTGGCGTCATTAAATTTTCTTCAGCATAAAACACTCTTAAAAGCAGAAAATTAAAAATCGTAAAATTAATAAAAATGATTAATTTGTTAATTAAATTTGCACGAATGTATTTTTCGAAACTTCGAAGGCACCTTAAACTTCGAAAGGACGAAGTCCTTTAAAAAAGTAACAGCCCTAGTCTGGAATACATGTGGCATGCAATCTTATTGAAAGGGCCCAATTACGTTTCACACATCTTCACGCCGCTGACATTCGTTCCCTTGAAGTGGCCCTTTCCCCTGCCGCCGGCGAGAACCTGAGCTTTCAGGACAATATCCTTCGTCTTCAAGTCGGCAGCGAGTTTGGCTGCTTCATCGGGACTTTTGGCGACGCCGAATTTAGGCGTCGGCACGCCGGCCTCATTGAGTAAACTGTAGCTAATGTGTTCGTGTACGTTCAAATTTCTGGTCGGTTGTTTCACCAGGCTGGTTTTGCAAGCCAGTATCTGAAAAGGGATGTGATGTAACATCAGGCTCGGTGATAAACTCTTTCGCGGTTTGGATTTCGCACGCGTCATCAGATACTCCTAGTTTTAGCGTCATTATACATTGATAAAAAGTGCATGTCAAAGTTTACGTTGTGTACATTGATCAGGGATAAAGAAAGAAATGAAGATAAAAGTTATTAATGCGGTGTACTGATGTCTATTGATGTCAAGAAGACAAGATAACACGAGATTAAAGTATATGCAAATTGGTCTGTCTTATAAATCATGTAGTAGTTAAATATAAATCTACGTTTGAAGGTCAAATGGCAATAAGCTATGCAGTATGCACATGTTGTTATCTGTATTTTGCATACAGCTTTTATAAGCGTTTTGGCAATGACACTTTGTATGCAATAAAGTGAATTGTGTAACAGCTTTAAAAGTGGCGCATTATTTGCTCTTTTTTTTAATGGTGCTTTTTCAGCAATCTTTAAACACAAATAAGTGAATTGTGTAACAGTTTTATAAGTGGCGCATTCTTTTGCTCTTTTTTTTTAATAGCGCTTTTTCAGCAATCTTTAAACACAAATAATTAGTTGAAACGCAATTTTTGAATTTTTAACAAAGTTTTAAATTTTAAACAAACAAGCTAATATCCGCAAAATATTAATTAACTAAAATCACTCGTTATTTTTTTGTTGCATTATATATATGCGTTAAAAATTTCAAAGTTGATTACGTTGATTATTGATTATACATCGGTTATATTGTTACAACAGAAAATTAATTTTTTTCGAGCACAAGAATAAGAGCAATTTGTTCCCATTTTCCAGTATTAAACACAATCTTACTTTTACCAAATTATTTTATATCAAAATTTCGAGAAATTTGCGGTTAAAGTGGCAAAAGAGAGCTATTTTAATGTACGTTACAGCATGTTATAATTATGGGATGTGTGCGATATGTGACGTGTTGTAGTTTTATTGAAATCAAAATTAAGTATATTGTTGGAATTTTCAGCCTCTAAAATGAATTATTCGATTACGATTAAAAAGATTTATGAATAAAGATGCATTGCGTATTAATCTGATGTCAAAGTTAATAAATTCAAATAAAATTCAAAATAGCGAAATTAATATGGTGGATATAAAAATGTAAAAATGTTCCATTTTTTAAGAATAATTCACATATAAATGTTTCTTAGGTTCAATTTTTAATTTAAATTGAATTTGACATAAGTTTCAGAGATTTGAAAAACTGTTAAGTTTGAAAAACATAAATAAAAAAGTATTTGATAAGATCCTTTATTGGTAAATATCTTTATAATCACTTAATCAACACAACAAATCCTTTTTAAGAGCTGAAAATCCTAACTACATAATTTTACTACTACTTAATTTTGATTGCAATAAAATGTTCTCAACATATATACAATTATTATGATAATAAAAATATATTTAAACAGCCCTTTTTGCAACTTCAACCGCAAATTTGTCAAAGTTGTGATATAATAGAACAATGTGATAAATGAGATTGTTTTCAGTGTCCAAATAATTACGTGTAACGATTATCTTCGTTCTTGTGCATTTTTCTGTTGAACAATGTTATCGATTATTACAGATATGTGTATGTAACACAGAATAAATATTGATTTTTTCGGACGTTGAATAAAATCCTAATGATAAATATATTTTGCGAATTTCGCCTTTACGTTTTTTAAATCACATGTCGATCAATATCTGGTCCTAAAAAACAGTCTTAAAAGCTAAAAATGTAATTAATTGATACTTCGCATGTAATCTAGTCTTATTTAAAACATTTATCAAGTGACATGGGTAAACAAAAACAGAAACTTATTGAATGCTCAAGCAAATCCTGTTCCGTGCGGAATTTTAATTCATGATGAGTCACGGAAGAACGTATACTGATATTCTGAGAATCTTGTCGTAACGAGAAGGAAGCTCGAGATATTTCATGACATCGAAGAAACAATCGATTTTTTAATTGAAAATTCCTATCGCAAACTTGCACGTCGCCGACTTTGACAATTGGAGCACGTGCGTCGCGACCAATCGGGGGTGGAAAGGGAAGGGGGGGGATACGCCTCGCACTTTGCTCGCTTCAAGGCCGCGCTTCATCGCTGAAAATAAATCTACCGGCGAGAAAAAAAAAAAGAGAGGAAGCACGGATCGATCACGCGCGAGATCGTCATTTCGATTCAAATTGATTCCGTGTCATTCTATTCGATTCGTTCGACGAAAACGAAAGACTACGGGAGGAAGCGAGGGACCGGGGGGGGGGGGACGGAGGAGCCGCTACGTAACGAACGCGTTGACAAGTGTGTCCCCTCGCGCCGCGAGCGAGCGGTAATTCGATCGAAACGCGAGGGTGGACGCCGCGCCCGTCGACGGGAACGCCGAGGGGACGACGCGCGGGACGGTTTCCCGCTCGGTTGCGCAACTGTCACGTCGATCTTCCGAGGGAAAATCCCCGGTGATGGAAAACCCCCGCGCGGCTTCGAGTCGCGCTCGCGACCCTGGCGCTCGATTTAGCAGACTATACACAGCTGCTCCAACATGGCGATCGGCGACCTTCGCTCCGTCTCGCTCGCACTCGCTCGCCCCTCTCTCTCTCTCTCCGTCTCTCCTCCCGGCCGATCCCGAGTCGATCTCGAGACAGCCAGCGTGCTCGTGGGAAACACGCTGGAGCCGCCTGGTTAACATGCACGCGGAAAAACCCGTCGGCTTGACGTACCTTGGGGCCGCCGCCTAGTCGGCCGAGATTCTCCGCGAGTAAGATCGCCCGCGACAACATGGTAGCCATCTTTGCCTGAGCGACGGCCGTGGACTGCCAGGCGCGAGCTTCGTTCCCCTCGCTAGTCCCCACCCAACTTTGACGTTTCCCACGCGGAGCCTCATCTCATGCCGTGCGAGGTGCGGCGCGCGAGACTCAAAACCAGACTCAGCGCAGCTTCGCGCGGAATCGAATGAGTGATTTCACCGACGAGATATTCTTAAGAGGATGCTAAAGCCATCTGTTTTATCGATAAAAATATCATTTTTGTTGGATACAAAATACTTCGTATTAATCGCATAAAATAAAATTTCCTTTTCCACGATTAAAACACACATGCTAATGCATCTGGCTCTGGTGTGTTTTGTACCAAAAACAGGAAAAAATTAAGAAATTACAGATTTCGTTATCCATTTTAACCTCAACATGGCGACTAATACTATCAATTTACCAAAACGTTTACTTCGTGAAAAAGTTAGGCAGGTTATATGCTCGAAATGAAGGCAGAGCCAGATGTACAATAAAGAA